TCCTTTGCACCAGCTCTGAAACTCATCAGATTCATCATGCAAGCTGCCAGCAGGGTGCCAGAATCCATCTGGATCAGCAATCTGAACCAGCTCAGCAAAAATGTGCTGAAAGAGGACAGGCAGGAAAAGAAACTGCTCTCTTTTGGTGGAGGCAGCCTGCTACATCACCTCGAGTCTATTGTTTTCATTCCAACCTTCTGCTAACTTCAGCAGATGAGCACTTACAGAGCTGGCTGTGGCCACCCTGTGGGGATGGTCCTGCCTCCAGCTGCCATGTCTGCCCATTCCTGGGCAGACACCAAACAGCTTCATTGTCAGCCAAAGGCAATATCTAACTTCACTGCAAATGCAACAAAGGTGCAAAGCCCAGTATCTTTGCCTTAAAGCACTGAGGAACGTGAGCCTAAGCTGAAGTGTAACGACATGAGGTTTCAATGTCCAGAGCTAATGTGCTGCCACGCTCTGTGAGCTCAGCGGGCAAAACCTGCAGTGTTCCACCTGACCCATGACAGAACACAGCCAGTCTGTCAAGCCAGGTTCACTCTCAAGGCCAGCAAGAACAAACAGGACAAATGATTAAAAACATATAGTACAAGTCCCTTAGCTTTAAAACTATTCTAGCAAAATGACATAAGAAAACCAAGCATACCTTGACCGTAACAATGAAATTTTGGGCCTTCTTTGAAAATGAGACTGTCAGGTGCATAGTTTCTTTTTTAAAATGCAAGCTGCACACTCCAAAATGTGTTGCAGGACCTAATGGGTGGCATGCAATGCAATAAGGGATGGGATAGGGGATGAGGGCTGAAAATGGCAGAGGGACAACAATTTAGATTTCAAAGTAGTGGAAGAGTTGTACCAGATGTTTGAATGATGTTCTGAAAAAGGGCTCGTATCCTCTTATGTATTAACCACTGAAGCTCTGGTTTGCAGCATTCTGCATCTGAAATATACTTTAGAGCTGATTGCCTCAGTGATGTGATCATTTCCACAGGCTATGTGGAACATGCCATGAATTTGAGCTTCTACACCTGAACTGGGGATAAATCGTCAAGCAAACTGCACTTAAGCTAGGGCCAAGATGCACCAAGTGAAGAGCAGCATGCCTGTCTCTGTGGCACACTGCTGGGAACTATTTCCATGTTGAGTAATCCATGCAGATGTATCCTGAATCAGGCTTAATTTTTCTGTGAACTTCTGTCAGGCAGCAAGATGGAACGCCAAGAGAAAGTAAGGACACTGGAGCTACACCACTCGCACTTCACCTGAGAAAGACAAACCAACCAACCAACCAACCACACACAGCCAACAGCAAACAGAGAAATGGAGAAGACTAGGAATAAAAAAACAGAACTGCTGACTCAGCACATTGAAAAACCCAACAGTGATCATGCCATCTTAAATCAATTCCCTTTCCAAGACCTATACCACTACCTGCATTTCTGTGAATGTGCCTTTGCTGCAATTTCTTTCAGATCAAAACTGAAGCAAGTACAAAAGACAGCTGAGCCAACAGGCCTGTCAGTGCCCCAGTGTGCGATAGCAGAGACCTCAAAGCTCCTTCTCAGCCCACAGCTCTTATTTTTATGCAGACTGTATTGATTTATTGCGTGGTATCAGGAAATTTCTGAATGGTCTGGCCAGCTTCACATGCTTCGCTGACTTTTGAAATGAAAGCAACAGAGCTTTTGCTTAAGTCAACAGTGTAAGTCACCGGTTTAAAGGTTACCACTTGATTGCGCAGCACAAGAAGCAGACACTTATCTTCCCAGTCCAAGGACTTCTGGCTTTCTGGGCAGCAGCACACAACACTGTAATGGATCACTTGGAAATAGACTTTTGCAGAGATATAAACAAAACAGGGTACAAGAGGAAGGGCCTGCAAGCACAGGGTGCCTGGGCCCACTGTCCCACATGTAGCCCTGGCTTTAGGGGAGCGGTCACCAGGCCATCCCGGCAGCCTCCCCTACACAACAGGCGGGATGTAGGGCAGCAGCTCGGGGCGCAGCCGGCACCAGGTCCCGCGCCTTCACCTCAAGCCAGGGCCGCCAGGAGGCCGCAGGAAGGTGAGGAGACAGAGTGGTAGATGCCACTGTCCCACATACAACATGGCCAGCAGTACGGGAGGTCTTGATCTGCTTTGGAGAGGATAAGGCAGTGCAGGGGAAGAGGTGGGCTAAAACAAAAAGTGTACCTTGGGAAAGAAAAATCCCGCAACTCAATGAGGTGTGCACTCCCAGCTAATGCAGTTATAGCTCAACAAGTTGTTTCCAAATCCCAAAAGCGAGTCAGGACATCGGCCCGGGTGAGCTGCAACCGCATCAGGGCCCCTCCTGTGGGCACCGGGGGGCCCTGAGTGCAGCTCCTCCAGAACTGCTAAGGAAGCAATCCCCAGTAAATCCCATCGGACTAACCCGTAAAAAAGGGCCAATCCCAGGCAAAACCTATCGGGCTGACCCAATGAAAAAGGCTGGCTGCTGTGGCAGGGCTGTGTTGTCATACATTGCTTACGTTTGTTTTAATTTTAAACCCGGAGTCAGCCCAAGGTTTGTTACACAAACATATGGCACCCGTATTACATTCTGCCTCGTATTTATAGAAAGTACCGCGGCAGTCCAGACAGCGCAAAGATGCCATAACGTTAACAACATTTATTATTAGTATGACAAAAGAACAAAAATAAGCCTGCAGAAACCAAGACTTAAAGTTTAAGGGATTGATTGGAATAAGGAACCGAACTGCAGAGCTATTAGTGAAGAAAATCCCTCCAGCATTAACACACGCACTCCCCAGGCCACCGAGCGTTTTGTTATATAAACACGCCCCCAGAAAGGCAATTTCTTTAAAAACTCAAGCCCTGAACACTGATTAACATGTTTAATGCCAGCCCGATTAGCACTGCTGAGCCCCAGCCCAGAGAGCGCTGAGGCAGAAGTCCTCATCCCTCTCTGGATCCTGCTGCTGAGGAGAGTGGATTTGGGACAAAGGGTGAATCTTAACAATGCCTTTTTATTGCCCTGCCACTTCCTCCTCAGCCCAAACAAGCAGGGAAGGGTACCAGCACGCCCCCAGCAGCGATAAATGCCATTACTAGATTTTTCCATTCCAGCTGCAAAGGTACACGCAGCAGAGGCCGAATCCTCTACCCTTGACCTAAAAAGAAAGCAGTGAAGGGAGGAAAAAAAAAAAAAAAAAAAAAGGAAGCAGGAGAAAGCACCCCAGCAGCACTCGCAAGGCCGAACATTCTGGAAGAGCATATTAGCTTTGGCTGCTGCCCAGCACTAGCTGCAGGAGTGCGCTGGTTAATCTGTAGCCAGACTGAGGGCGATGGGGAGCAGGACAGGGCCACCCCGCAGGCAAGGAAGGGTGAGGGGCTGGGGGTGTTGCTTCTTTTTTTTTTTTCCAAAAAAATTTTATTGGGAGAACTACAAAACATTTACAGTACAAAGTTTACAGTCTCACACAATTTGTAGTGAACTGACTCCCGAAAAATATATTACAACTCAAGTTGACTTATCCTTTAGTTACATTCAAAACATACTTCTGTTAAAGTAGTCCAAAAGAGTACATAGTGCTCAATCTGTACCTATGTACAAACAAAACTAAGCTACCGCTCATTCATCCACCGTCCAGGAAAGTTTTGGAAAACTCCCGACTTTCTACATAAGAAAAAAAAATATTACAAGTTTTGGAATTCAATTAAACAAGATATGCTCATGTATAAAGTTTCAGATCCAAAGATGGCCGCCATTCTTACAAAATAAAGAGTGGTGAAATTTTGCTGTAGTCAAAACCCATCCCTACATTCAAATTATCACCTCAAGCATTAAGAGAAATACTCATTTGGTTGAGAAGTATTTAAGGCAAGCGTGGACCCTCCAAAAGGCACTGTGAGGCATAATACTGGGCACCCCAATTATTGCTACATCCGTTGAGACTACATCACAGTGTGAGTGGTGGAGTTAGGCAACGAGGAACACTTTTTGGTTATACTTGGAACGAGGCTGCGTCAGGTTCGCCACTTTGAAGTCTGATTGCCAAAAGTCAGTCTCTTGTTGTTGGTTTTCTTCTACTCGGACGGGCTACAACCATTTACATTCTAAAAAAATCCCATAGAAATTCCTCAAACTACTTCCACAGCATCGAGACCGATTTCTATACAGAAACCATGCAATCTTTCAGATTTACGTAAACAAGGAAAGAAATTAATGAAATAAATATTACATACAATCTCTTAAATTAAGAATTTTACTCATTTACAATAAAATAACCAAGTGAAGTTACAAAAAGGCATATATTACTGTGAAAAGAACACACTCCACATTTCGCCGATTAATAATGGCAATCATAATTTAAACATAATAAAAGAATATATATCTATTGCTTTTCATCATACCCGATAAATACAGTATGAACAAATTACCAATGCATACTTTTCACAAGATAATAAATAAGTTAAATAGTTTCATATTGAGTTGTGTGCAGTGACTCATTCATGCAATCAACTCAAAACAGCTAAAAAAAATTAAAAAAAATCAGCAGTTATTCTCCAACAATTACAAACTAAACTCGGTCGAGTGCTTCCAAATAAAGCAACAACGAAAAAGAAAAGTTGTTCTAAGCCAAACATCCACTAAGTGGTGGCAATGGAACCAATATTAAACTTTGGAATGAAGGTTTTAGCATTTGTTATAATAATAATATATAGATATATAAAAAAAATAGAAGGTTGTTATCAAGGCATATTCTTGGCAGGATGTTGGATTTCGCGCTGGAGAAGCTCGCGGTGGGTCCGGCCGCGTTCCCGGATGGAATGGTGCTGCTGGTGCGGATCAGAACTCGTCTCCGGAGAACGAGAAGGACAACTCCGAAACACAAATCCCCCTTCTTCCAAGGTCTCTCTAGAAAAATAGGTTTGTTCAGTTCACGTCAGTCGCCCTTTCGCACGACGCTTTTCGCTTTGTTCAGCTCTCGTGTGTACATAGATAGGTTACGCGTATAAAAAAAAAAAACGACAACAGACAAATAGAGAGGGGGGCCGGCTCGCTCCCCGCGCCCCACCGCCCGCGGCCCCTTCCTTCTTTCCTTCCATCCATCCTTCAGTCGTCGGAGATGGACAGGCGGCTGAAGATGGGCAGGCGGCGGCCCGAGTCCAGGCCGGGCGACTCGGAGCCGCTGAGCGAGCCGGAGCTGAGCGAGCCGCTCAGGTAGCTCTCGCGGTCCGAGAGCGAGTCCGGCGGGCTGGGCGGCGCGTCGAACACGGGCGACTCGGAGAGGCGGCGCAGGGGCTGGAAGCTGAAGGGCGGCGAGGCGGGGGGCGGCGGGCAGCCCCCGGGCGGCGGCGGCGGCTGCTGCTGCTGGCAGCGGTAGTAGGCGGCGGCGGCCACGGCGGCCGCGGCGGCGAAGCCGGGCGTGTGCAGGGCGAGCGGCGCGATCAGGCTGCCCAGCTCCTGGCCCGAGAAGGCGAAGGCGTTGTTGGCGCAGGGCGGAGAGAGCAGCTCCTCGCAGTACGAGGCGGAGGCGGGCGGCGGCGGCGTGCGGGAGCCGCCGGGGCTCTCCAGCAGCGCGGCCTCCAAGCGGCCGCCGGGCGGCGGCGGCGGGGCGGCGCCGTGCGGGTGCGGGGGGTGGTGTTGGTGGTGGTGGTGGGCGGAGAAGCCGGAGAAGCTGAGGCTGTGGTGCAGCTTGGGCCGCTCCCCGCCGCCGCCGCGCGGGTGCCCGAAGCCGCCGCCCAGCGGGTGCTCGCGGGGCGCGAAGGCGCGGAGGTCGCCGGTGCTGCCGGCGGGGTGCGGGGCCGCGTGGTGGTGGTGGTGGTGGTGCTGATGCGGCGCGGCGGCCGAGGGCGGGGGGGCGGCGGCCGTGCCCCCGCCGGGCGCCGGGCGGCGCTCGTCGGCGTTGTGGATGAAGTGGCAGCGCGGGCCGTAGGGGCAGAAGCCGATGGTGTGGAAGGTGCGGCAGAGCTCGGTCTTGTACTTGGGGTGGCGGGTGAGGCTGCGCAGCTCGTGGAAGCCGTGGGCGAACTGGCACTTCTCGCCGTACTTGCAGGCGCCGCTCTCCTCGAAGGGGCGGCACAGCTCCGTCTTGTAGCGCGTGGAGTTGATGGGCGCCCCGCCGCCCCCCGAGCCGCCACCCTTGCCGGCCGCCGCCTGCTGCTGCTGGAGCTGCTGCATCAGGTGCTGGCTGCGCTCGCCGTTCTCGCTGAAGGAGCGGTCCCGGAACTTGTTCTCCTTGTTCAGCAGGGCCGTGGGGCTGCCGCCGCCGCCGCCCCCGCCGCCGGAGCCCGGCTCCTTCAGGCCGCCGAACGAGGAGGAGGACGAGGACGAGGAGGAGGAGGACGAGCTGGAGCCGGCGGGGCTGGGGAACTTGGCGCCGGCGGCCAGGGCCGGCAGGTTGCTGGTCGAGTGCCGCCGCAGGAAGCCCGGCGCGAAGCTGGAGCCGGAGGAGGCGACCGGGGTGCCCACGGCCTTCTTGTCCAGCATGCTGCTGAGGTTGGTCAGCGACTTCTCCGTCTGCGGGGCGGCGGGACGGGAAGAAAAAGAGCGGGTTGCAGCGGGACCGCGCCGAGCCCGCGCCGCCGCTCCGCCGAAGTCGGGCGGAGGAGCCCCGGCCCCGAGCGCGGCACCCCCCGGCGCCCCGCGCCGAAACCCCCGCGCCCCCTTACCTTGCACAAGAAGTCGATGTCGTAGAAGGCAGATAACAGCGTCGTAGACATCTCTAGATCCTGTAATGGTCGGAAATACAGGAAGGACCGAACGATCCCGCTCTCCTCGGAGGGTTTGGAAAAGCCACGACGAGACGGGAGGGGGCCGCGTGCTTCGGAGCCGAAACGGTCCCGGCTCCTTCCCGGCGGGGCGGGCGGGACGGCGGGTGCCGGGCCGAGGCGGCGACGGCGGCTGCACAGCAGCGAGCGACCTGCGGGAACTCCGCGGCGCCCCGCGCCGCCTCCATATAAACGCCGCTGCCGCGGCCCGAGGGGCGGGCCCCGCTCCCCCCCGCCCCGCTCCGGCCCCCGCCCCGCCCCGAACCGAGCGGCCCGGCGGCGGCCATGGCGGCCCGGGCCCCGCGCCCCGCGGGAAGGGGCCGCCCCCGCCCGCCCCGCCGAAAATAAACCCGTGCCACGTAACTGCCGCGGGACAAAGGGCCGCGCGCGGGGCGGCGGCGGGTGAGCGCTGCTGTGCCCCGGGCAGCTCGCACCTCCCCCCCCCCCCCCCCCCCCCCCCTCCCCGGACGGGCGGCCGCCCCGTGACACTGGGGCAGCGCCGGGCGGGAGGCGAACTTTGCGTCCGCGAGGCTCGGTTAAGCGCTCGGTGCTCGCCCGCCGCCGTGCCCGGCTGCAAAGCGCCCACGTCAGCAGGAAGCGCGCGCTGTCGGAGCGCGTTTGCAAGCACGGGCCCGGGGGTGGGTGCGTTCCTCGGCCGCCCGTTGGGCTTCGCCCCCCGCCGCGCTCCTGTGTCCCCCCCTCCCCCCCGACCCATCGCGGGCTCGCGGCGGGTCCGGCCCTTCCCGCCCCTCCGGGCCCCTCCGAGCTGAGCTCGGCGCCGCGCCGCCCCCTGGCGCCCGCCCCGCGTAACGCCGCCCGCCCCGGGCACGGGGAGCGCGGCGGTGCCGCCCGCGTGCGGTGCTGCCCCGAGCCCGGCGCCGCCGCTCCCGGCCCGCCCCTGGCGAGCTGCAGGAGCCGGCTAAGGGTTAAAGTCCTGCGAGCGGCTGGTGCGCGGAAACTGCGAGCAACGAGACCGCCAGCACGGACCTTTATTTGCTCCCTATAAAGGAGGGGGCAGCGCGGCGCTTGCAGCCGCACTACACACGCCGTGAGGCACCGAGCTGCCCGGTGCACCCGGCCCGTCCTCGAGGCCCACGGAGCTGCCAGAACGCGAGCTGCTGTCTCACGGGCGCCCGGCTCTCATCGCGGCGCTAACTCTCCCCTTTGACCGAGCGGGCGCTCCGCTTTAAGTAACATACGTCACCTCAAGCCCTGCAACTGACAGCGAGCGCTGGGATTCGCGCTCACGCTCGAGCCCCGCTGCAATCTCGCGCCCCCGCCGAGCCCTGCCTGGAAGCGCAGCCCGCTCCGCCGCGGAGCGGCCCTCGCGCCCCACCTCCGGCCGCGCGGCCCCCGCCCGCCGGTGCCGCTGCGCACGGCGGTGCTCTACTGCCACCTGCTGGCCGCCCGTGGCGCTGTAAGGCCCGGTCCGGCCCGGCTCTCCCTGCTGTCCCGGCGCGGCGGCAGCGCGGGAAGCGCCGCACACAGCGCCGCCGCTCGACTCGCATCGAGTGAAAGCGGTTTGTAAAACGTCAGCATTTCGCAACAGGGCCGTTCGATTTGCAGGAGATGCAGGCACGCGATGCGTTACCTATTGCAGGTCCAACTACAAGGCTGACAGCAAAGTAAGGCTAACATCTTGCCTTCCCCCAGAGAAGAATGCAGTAACGTTTAAAACACAGTCAAAATCTTGTCAAGGGCAAAGAAAGAAGCCAAGGTTTATTTAAGTAACACTTAAAAATTTACCCTATCAATTTAATAATTATCATTCCACGCATAGAAAGAAGCCCCCCCCCCCAAAAAAAAACCAAACAAAAAAAACACCCCAAATTTTTCTTGGTATTAAAATACAGAAGGTCAAAACTTGGACTAAAACATACCCTGACAGGTGGCCTGCACCTGGTTGAATGGAAAATATTAGGCTGAGCTGCTCTACTTCCTACAGTAGCAACAACAAACCATGCTCAGCCGAATTAAATTAGCAAATGCATTTAAAGGGAACGGTCCCCAGCAGCACACCTGACAAAAATCAAATGGACTCAGGGATGGAAAATGTGTTGGTAGCATGAATAGTGAACAGTTTGTGGCAGGCTTCCTGGGCTCATCATGGCCACGTCTCAGCTCCATGGATACCCTCAGGATTGGCTCCCTGCTGAGCCTACAGCTCCCTGAGAATGAACTTTTAGGAATTTTGTAGCTTTTTAGGAAGTTTTGGTAATTTACTTTTTCAGATTTCCATCTTTGCCCTTGTCAACAGACTGCAGCAAATTCAATATTTTAAGGCAGAGTGATATTTGCTCCTTCTGAATGGCCAATTCTGTGAATTCTGCCGTCTTCAAAAATTCTGGACTCGGAGGTAGGGCTGTAAGGAGGCAGGCAATGAGCTGGGCTTGGTCCTGGGCCCTTCTGGAGAGTCGGTCAAGCTCTGCTCCATCCGGCAGGGCTAGGTGGGTCACCTGGGCGAGCAGCAGTAAGTGTTTACCCAGCAGCCTGGCACTGGTCAGCTTCTCTGCCCAGAAGTTCACTTCCCCTTTGTCAAACAGGCACTCGTCTTCTTCCTAAGTGGAAACACAGCCATTAGAAAAGGACCCATGTGGCATGGCAAGTGCTAAGTGAGGCTCTAGCGAGGCAGGAGAGCATGCAGTCTGAACCCAGCAATCAGCAGCAATGACAGTAAGTGCAATTAGCTGCAGCTGCAGCCAGCAGCCATTTGTTAAGTACCTCTTGATTTATTGCATTGTTTGTTGGTCTTTTAATTTCGTGCTGATATTGCCAGGCCACTGACATCAAACTCTATTTATTTATTCTAAGCACTGTCCATGTGATTTATTTTTTATTTTTAACTGTAATACAATTAATATTGGAGTAATGACCGTCAGTCCACTCCACTATTCTATTCCACCCCACCACAAGCCTGCAGAACCACAGCAGCCCTGCCATGGGACAGCAGTGGGTGTCACTTACTGGGCCGGATGGCTGCAGGCCTCCCCTTGGGTCACTGTCTCCCAGCAGCCACCCCAGCAGCACTGGGATGCCAGCATGCGTCTGCCCCCACTGCTGGAGCTGCTCACACAGCGTGCCAAAGGCCAAGTCCAGGGCCAGGGGTGCGTTCATGACCCTAAACGTGAAGCCTAGCAAGAGAAAAGACATGCAACGATTTATAGTGAGACCAAAATTTACACAAACATGTTTATAATGACGAATCAGACTGGAAGCAAGTTAGATGTGACACTGAGAGCCTTTTTTCCAGTTCCAACATCATACACAAAGCAGCTGAAACACTGATGCTTGATACTTTTTCCTGCTCACGTAGTGACATTCCTTACTATGGATGTCTGTACACAGAGATGTCTGTTAGAAACACTTCCAGAGATTGTCCTGACACCCCAACATGGTGACTATTTACACAAACCTGCAGCTATGCCATAAATCTGAGCTGATGACTCACTGGAACCCAAAGCCTACAGCACATTATGTGAGCTGGGATATAAAATGAGTCACTATTTGGTATGCAATCCCTTTATATGTGGTACGATATACACATACGCAACATGTAAGAGAGATCAGCACACAAGACAGGTCTGCAGAAGATGCTAAAGAAGGGCAAGGCAGACACTGTTTACAATATCATCGCAGAGCTCTGTTTACACAGTTTTTCCTATCGGCTTCTACAGTATTTTCCCTGGGGACTGAAGAAATGAACAAACAAATGCCAAAACTGCACACAAAACAGCCACATGGTAGTTCTTCCCTAAACTTCCCCACTGGCCAGCAGCCTTGTTTGCATTCAGACCCAGCCTCGGCTTTCACAGATAAGGGTTTCACCAGTGGTAACATTAGGGCAGTTTGTTTTTTTTTTTTAAATGAGAAAGAGGACAGGAAGGGGACAGCTAATGAACAAGTCCCTGTTAAATCCCTGTTACTGTAAAACAGATTTTGGCAAAATTCACCCTTGTCCACAGTCACCAGCAAAAAACAGCTGCTCACAGAATGGCCTTACTTCTATGCAGTGACATCGTAAGGATGTGTCATCGCTGAAGACTGCCTTTTATGAGCAAAGTAAATAGCAGAGCCAGGAAAATCAATGCAGAAGGAAGAAGGCAAGAAATACGGTCTGGGTGCACTTTCTGCTCCCTATGCCAGCAGCACATTTTCCAGAGCTCGGGAGTATTTTCTGGTGCATGCTGGCACAGAAGAGAGATCGTACAATAAAATGCGGTCTGCGTGCCATCACTGGGGAAATAGGCATGCCAATGAGTAAGGAAGAGCAGGAAACAACTGTGGGCAGAACAGGCTGATGACAAGATGAGCACATGGTATCTGATAGACCGAGCGAAGTCCAGAGCACATCAGGGAGGATGAATTAGGATTTGAGACCATGAGAACAAAGGACTGTAATAAAGAAGGGAGTGAAGGAAAAAGAACAGATGGTCCCTTCTTTATCTCAGAGTTAGATGAGGGTACATGGAAATCTCCTTGGACAAGCCACAGGAAGGTAGGCAGTCAATCTCCTGGTGACACTAATAATGCTACATACGCAGTTTGTCTCTCTGGTAGGCAGTAAAATTTTCAAGCCTGTTTCCTTCATGTGAAAACTTATCACAGTATCAGGGCATCCCTCAATTTTGTCAGTGGGAGAAACTTTGCAGGGGCACAGTGCCACATTCCCACACCATTTACTTTAGGTATTGGTTTTGCTGATGTTTCTTTCCAAGTCTTTTCTCTAAACTTGCTTCCTCCATTGCTGTGCCCACTGAGGCCTCTAATTATTATGTGAAAATGCCCTAAACTGACAAGGTAGCAAAACAAGTGATATTGAGGTACTGCTTAAATCAAACCTGCATGCTAGTTATTTTTCAACAGTGCAACACAGAAGAAAAAAGCTTTTTTGTAATCAGAAAGCATGGTAAGCTTGTAGAGGAATCCTTGTGTGAAAACAAATGAAATTGTATATATTTATGTTTATTTATATATATATATATTTGTATTTCTAGTTATGTATTTTTTTTCTTGAAGAAGAGAAAATTTACAAGAACAATATATAAAG